AGTAAACACCTTCCTCATCTGAGCGCGTCTCATCACCTGGTTCACTGTGGACCACTTATCACCGTCAAAAACTAACTCCTTATTTTTGCCATAACAACATAATATCACCTGGCCATTTATTGAGCAGTTTCACATGCCAAGCACTGTTCTAAGGGCTTTCCTGGTAATAACTCATTTAGTGCCAATACTATCCCATGATGCCGGTTACAGACAAGGAAACCAGGACACAGACAAGTAACCTATGTGATCATCTAGTATTAACTTGCACCACGTGGGTGATCACGTGGTCTCTGCTCCAAGGAGACTCCAGCTACTCAAGTGAATGCAGTGTGAAGTAACAGAAAATCTCCTTACCTGGGCGTGCTCCTGGTGTTGAGACAAGTGTCCTTCAGCCCAGCGGAGAGCTCTGCTAGCTCTGCGAAGGCAAACGCACCTATCGCAGGCTTTCCAGGCATTTGTTCGGGGACCAGAGTTTGTTCTGTTTCAAATGGTTTCTTGCTAGAAGCCGCGCCCTCCTGGGCGAATGGGGCGAGGGCCCCATGGAGTTTTACAAAATTTCAAAACTCTCCTAGCAGGCTGGGCTGGGGCTCTGGAAGAAGAACTAGAGTAATTACCAGGAACTGTCTTCATAGCCACAGAGTCCTGGTCCTTTCCAGCACTCTGGAGAGATGAGAGATATGAGGTCTCTGGGTTTGAAAACAGACAGAAAATGGGGAGGTGGGAGGACGCAAGGTTGTCCTGTATTAGAATATGTTCGCTCATAAGAAAATTAAGTTTATGATTTTACCGAAGTGCGCTATTTCCCCGAGATCATTCTATCGCTCTCGAGTTGGCTTCTGGGTTGGAAACGCTCACTGATGGCCGGATGGACGCCCGGGTAGCTGAACAGCGGGGTGCCCCGCGCGCTCACAGGCACCGCAGGGCTAAAGCTGGCTGCGCGCCGCCGAGGCTCTAGAAAACCCGCACTGGGAACTTCGCTCAGGTCCTCCCCGGATCCCGAATCCCAATCCCCGAGGAGGGGCGTCCAGAGAGCGCCCAGCTCCTCCGTCCGCCGGGACGCAGGTCATTTCTGGGTCTCTTCCGAAAAACCACTGGGCGCGACCCACGTGGCAAGGTCCCCTCTTGCACTCCACCTCCCGGCCATGTTCTGAAAGCCAAGGTCGGCACACTTTCCTCTCCTCGGAGGGCTGTCATTCCGTCCTGAAGGCCTGGGAGCAGAGACTTCTGTCCACTAGAGAGGAGCGGGTGGTGGCTGAGGGCGCGGAGCACTGATGCCAGGCAGGTGGTTGCGGGCCTGGTAGCCAGCCGGGGATGTGCGCACTTGGCTCTGACCAGGCTGCATCTGGGGGCCTGTCTCCAAAGCTACGAGGTAGGGAAAGAAAGGCCTGTTGGAAAAGTTTAAGCCTGAACAGACGGACACTACCCGGCGTCTTCTGTGTGCTCAGAGTCGTGCTGCCTCTGAGCACTGGGAGATGAATAGCGTGCAGCGACCACCTTGGAGAAGCTGGAAGTCTCCCGGGCTGCGACGTGGCTCCACTGGAGGCTGGGAAGAGGGCGTGAGAAGGAGAGGTTGTGCGAGTGAGAACCTAAAAGGGGTCTTACCCCAGCCTGGGAATCAAGGAAGCCTCCCCAGCGAAGGTGAAACCTCCCTTTAAGAGACCTGATGTGCGCACAGGTGTTGGGCGGGAGCGCGCTACAAGGGCCCAGAAGCCAAAGCCAGGAGCGGGCATCTAGAGGGGGCTGGCGAGAGTGGGCGGGGCGAGAAGCCCGTGGGGTGGTGACCTTTAAGTTCGTGACCTCTCAACTTCTATTGGAAACACGTGGGTTGGAGACCAGACTTGCATAAAGGCTTGCGCACTGCGGCTGTGCGCGAATTCTAGTTTAGCACTTAGTTGGGATTCAGGAATCTGTATTTTAACAACTCCACCAGGTGATTCTCATCATGAGAGAAGTTTGGGAAACACTGCTGTAGGAGATCGCAGAAGCCGAAAGGCCTTATCCCAGGAACATCCCAGCCCTGGAGGGTGGCCCAGTGGCCAAAGGCCCTAGCTTCCTGCTGTTGATAAAGTAGGAGGTATGTGTAGGCGACCTCTGTCCTAAGGCTTGTTCCAGCGGTGACCACAGCTGTTGCTTCTCCCCAGGGGTCTCCTCTTTAGCCTAGGCCCGTGGGGGAGGCAGAGCTCAGAGGGAGGAGCAGGATAGAGGTCTGGGCTGCAGACAGCACCAGGTCAGGCCCCGGGATCATGGCAGCTCCTGTGTGAGGCCCAGCTCTAAGGAGTCCTGAGTAAACCCGAGGCCAAGCAGCTCTGTGTAAGGGGCGTGTGTGCGGCTGCGCTGTTCACCCAGGAGACGTCTCCCAGCACTGAGTTCAAGTCTCAAGGTCAAGAAGTGCAGGGGATGGTGGCGCCTGTCAGGGCCAGTGCAGCCTGACCCAGCACCCTGGGGCTCCGGAACCCTGGGAGGTCAGGCAGTGCCACCCCACCATTCCAAGCCCTTGGTACCAATCTACTCCAAACTTTAGGATTGAGAAGTAGGGCTGAGCCAGAGATATTGAAGAGAAGCCCGGGCAGTAGGAGGGGGAGCATTGAGGGACTGAAAGAAAGCCCACCTGTCTGAGCAGCCTCAGGGCAATCCCCTCTGGGAGCCCTTTCCAAGAGGGTGGTTTGCACTAACCCAAATCTCTGTGGGTGGGGTTAGTGTTCCCTGAGTGTTCTGGTGTGAGGGCTTGGTAGATCCCGGCTGGATGCTGGGTCTCCACAGACCAGAGTATTTCTGTCATTCCTTCCCCAAATCCTCAAGATCTGCATGCTCTGAAAGCAGGGCTTGGTCTGCAGACTCGTTCCACCGGAGTAAGGGTTGTCTTGGACTCTTGGAAACCCTCCCAGAACTGGGCTGAAAAGTGCTTCCACTCCCTGACACCCCAAGCTAGATCAAATTCGCAGAGAAAACAGGGGTAGAGGGCAGGATGGGGGCTGAGTGCAGTGCAAAGACCCCGAGCGCCTGCTCGCCAGGTGTATGGTCACGGAGGTCAGGGTCCCATCAGAGCCTCAGTGAGTCAAAAAACGGTCATGGCAATTAGCCTTTCCGTGCGGTTTATCTGCGTGGCTGATTTAGACTGCTCCATAGGTCTCCTTGAGAGTTCTACGTTTGACTGCAGCACCCGCAAATCCACCTGAAGTGGTGCCCTGTGGGGTAGAACACAATTAGGACTTTCAAATCCTGTACACCCATCCCCACCACGTCCCACTAGAGTCACATTTTGCAAATCACTTAGCCTTTCTCAGCCTCAGTTTCTTCATCTGTAAAATGGGCATAGTAGTGCGCACCTCTCTGAAGGGCAAGCTAAGGGTGAGAAATGCCACGCGGAACTGTAGGAAGGAGAAGCAAAGCCTTCGCCCTAAACCTGACACGCTGCATACGAAAGAAAGACCCTCTCTCCCCTCCTCCTAGTTCTCTGCCTGGTTCCCCCCCCCCCCCCACGTCCGACCCCTTGGAGCCCGGGGAGCTGCGCACATTTCTGGTGGGCCCTCCCGAGAGAGGCCGAGGCGAAAGCCAATAAGCCCGGAACACGCGCAGGTCCTGCTGGGCCTGGGACAATGGTTTCCATTTAATAAATATTTCCCCCCAGGGCATTTCACATCGGGCAGGCAATTATTCAAAGGAAACAGGCGCGTGGGTCTGCTCTGCAGGCTATTTCGTCCTCTTTACCCGAAAATGCTCATCTGACTGCAAGAAACGAGTTGAGTTTCTCGTTCTTGCTGGGTGGGCAGAGGCGCCCAGGGGACACACCGGCCCGGAGTGCGGATGCCGCCTGAGCCTGGGCTCCGGGGCCGCTGCAGAAGGGGCAACGGGAAAGCCCCACCTCCGGCGAGGCGCCTGCTGGCCTTCAGACTGCCTTTCCGGGGTGGGCAGATGAGGAGGGAAAGTTGGAGGTTTAAAAAAAACAAAAAACCTAATAACAATAATAATAACGTCAATAGGAATCGTGATGGAAATGCCATTCCCGCCCCCTCTACGAAAGCGGGGAGCAGATCGCGGCGCTCTTCTGGGCTCACCAGCCAGGTCTGAAACCTCCGCACTGCGGGCCTCCCGGCCGCCCCGCGGCATCGGGGCGCGCACCGCCCAGCTAGCCCGGGGCCCGGGCTTCTCCGGGCGCCTCCCGCAGGGCCTGGGGGGGCACCCCGTGAGTACGCAGCCCAAGGACGGCCCGAGGATACGGCGCGAAAAGTTTATTTCGCTTTTAAACCTGAGTCTGATCGATTCTTTTCCTCTTCCAAGGATGTTGACAAGGGGGCAGGGTGGGGGGTAGAGTGCTGTCCTTGCATTTCGTGACAAGGCTGCCGTCCTATTTATCAACCTGCGCTCCGGGCTCGTTCCTTGGGCTGCCCCCTTCCCAAGGTCTTTGTATCCGAAGCCCTCACTCTCCTTTGCAAAGCGGAAAAGAAAACAGATATATAAAGAGTTGAATGTGTGGAAAGCGCCAGAAACAATGTGGAAGGAACCCAAGTCCCCAGCAGCGCGCTGGCGGCTGTCTTCTCCTTCCCATCGGGGCCTCCCCCCTATCCCCCCTCTCCCCCCCCCCCCACAGGCCGCGCCCCCTCCCCCCACCGGCCCCGGCGGCAGGTGCGCCCCCCGCCGGCGCCGCCGCTGATTGGAGCCCCGGTTGGGGAGTCGCCGCCCCGCGCTTATGTCAGAGCGCGCGGTCCCGGCCCACCTCGCCTTTGAACTTCGCCGCTTGCTTTTGGCTGGCGTCCCCCAGCCTCCCCGCAGTCCCAGCCAGGTGCCTGTGCTAAGGCGAAGCCGCTCCGGGAAAAGCCACCACGGGAGGGAGGAGGGGGGAGCCTTGGCGGCCGCAGACCCCAGAGAGAAGAGAAGCAGAGAAGGCGAAGGTGGAGAGGGGGGCGGAAGGAGGAGCGTCCTGCTCTCTCCAACAAATTCCCTGGCCACCAGATCCCAGAGACTCCGGTGCTTGGACCCCCGGCGGCATCCTGGCCCGCTACCCTCTCCTCCCCCGCCCCTTCGGTCCCCACTCGCCCCCCGGGGCCCACCTGGGTGCCAGCCTGGCATGATCAGCTGAACTTTGCGGGGTTAAGCGCTTCTTTCTGGCTTCCCCTCTGCGGTGCGGAGGCCAGGGGAGCGGAGCGCAGAGTCCCGGCTCGGCTCGGGACGCACAGACAGGCGGACAGACAGACAGCCGCGCCCAGCTCGCCTGCAAGAACCCCTGCCCTCCCCGCCCCCGCCCGCCTCGCCTCGCCTCCGGGGACCATGTCTAAACCTTCAGACCACATCAAGCGGCCCATGAACGCCTTCATGGTGTGGTCCCGAGGCCAGCGGCGCAAAATGGCCCAGGAGAACCCCAAGATGCACAACTCGGAGATCAGCAAGCGCCTGGGCGCCGAGTGGAAGCTCCTGTCCGAGGCAGAGAAGCGGCCGTACATCGACGAGGCCAAGAGGCTGCGCGCCCAGCACATGAAGGAGCACCCCGACTACAAGTACCGGCCGCGGCGCAAGCCCAAGAACCTGCTCAAGAAGGACAGGTATGTCTTCCCCCTGCCCTACCTGGGCGACACGGACCCGCTCAAGGCGGCCGGCCTGCCCGTGGGGGCCTCCGACGGCCTCCTGAGCGCGCCCGAGAAGGCCCGGGCCTTCCTGCCGCCCGCCTCGGCGCCCTACTCCCTGCTGGACCCTGCGCAGTTTAGCTCGAGCGCCATCCAGAAGATGGGCGAAGTGCCCCACACCTTGGCCACCAGCGCGCTGCCCTACGCGTCCACCCTGGGCTACCAGAACGGCGCCTTCGGCAGCCTCAGCTGCCCCAGCCAGCACACGCACACGCACCCGTCCCCCACCAACCCGGGCTACGTGGTGCCCTGTAACTGTACCGCCTGGTCGGCCTCCACCCTGCAGCCCCCGGTCGCCTACATCCTCTTCCCCGGCATGACTAAGACCGGCATAGACCCTTATTCGTCAGCCCACGCCACAGCCATGTAACCCCCCGGCCCGGCCCACCAGACCTGGAGGGTGGCCTGGAATTGGGGTTTGCACACCCTGCCATCTGCGCGCCTGGCCAGGGGCCTGCAAACGCCTTGGGGCCAGTCCTGCCCGCTGCCCCCCTACCCTACCCCAGACTCTGCCTCTCTCTTCCAGGGGGATGGTAGGGACGTCCTGCCGGACCCAAGACGCAGACAGGTGCCAGGAACTTGTGAACATTATGACCGCCGTACAGTTGTCCCTACTCCAACTGCCCCAGATCAAACCTCCACATGTACCCCCTTTGGACAAAAAAAAAAAAAAAAAAAAAAAAGTAGGCAGTTTGCTCTATTTATGTCCCCTTCTCTCTCCTCTGATGGGCTTTGGACTCCAGAACGCTCTGATCCTGGTATTATATCTAGAATATGCATATTTTTTTTCTTTCGCGCCCTGCAGAAAAGAGTTAGCTCTGTGTTTTGTCATCAGACACAGCGAGGTGCCATGGGCTTAAAAGTTTTCAATTGCAGAAGGGAAACATTTCTATTTAAAACTCATGCTATGATCGTGTTTGCTTCTTTAACGGTAATACAAAAGGACCCACCTGATTATTTACTTTGTATAAAGCAGTGCTCCTAGAGACCTAAGTTTACTTTTAGACAGAATGTCAGGTTATGAAGTCGGGAAGTAGAAAGTGAACAAAAATGGAAAGAATAAAAACATCCTAAATGGTCGTAAATGTTTTTGATGATGTCTTGGAAATGTACCTAGAAGGATTTCATCTCCTTATTCTGTTCATTTGTTGAACAAAGATGTTTTGAATAAAGACAATCTGTCATTCCAAAAAATAATAATAATAATAAGCTTTGATGTGCATAAAATCGGAAGTCAGGAGGCCAGGTCCCGGCTGGGAGCTGGTCACTGGGAGGCTGAGAGTGGGTAGAGCAACTCTAGCAGTGGCAGCGGGTGGCTGGCCTGCGCTGGCCCAGCATGGTGGCCTTCAGGCCAGGGGCAAAGGGGACTAGAGTCTACGATTTGTCAGGATCTTGCCCCCTTTTTGCCTTTAGAGATGGGACAAGGGTATAGTTCCCTAGGATATCACTCCTTCCCTGGGACCTTCACAAAGTGGTCAGACCACTTCAAGGAGCAAATGAGCTAAGACCAAGGCTGGTCCAGACAGACCTCTGAGATCTGGGTGCATTTTCCTTTTTTTAAAATCAAACTCCAAAGGAATGGAGAGAAACGCGAATCTACCGGGAACCAGTTGCGCATGGAGCACCTGCATCCTGCAGTAGGTGTTTAAGTTAAATGATTAGGAAGACTGGTGGAAAACATTCACATATATATTAAGTTCCAAAGAGTTGTGCTGAAGGCATCCGAAGGTCCTTTCTCCCACAATACAGCAATGAGGGGAAAGAAAGAGGTTCTTGTCCTTGTTTCTCTCCATATATATATATTAAGGTGTTTAAAAATCATGCTGCTGCTGGTTATTCTGGGGGTTTGGGACTCTGTACTGTTCCTAAGTTAAAAAAATAAAAGACTTTTTTACTAAGACCCCACGGGATGGGAGCAAAGGAAAAAGGGAGGCTAGAGTGACAAACTCACAGCCTCTGTGTTTAACAAACAAGGACAAGAACCTCTTTCTTTCCCCACTGGGTGAATGTTAGCTTGAACATTGCTGTTTTGTGGGAGAAAGGACCTTCGGACACCTTCAGCTCAACTCTTTGGAACTTATTCTCCAAACCAAAGGGCTCTATCCTCCACCCCAGCACCCATCTTCTCCTGCCTGGTCTCATCCCCAAAGCCCTGCACAGGGTTTCTGTAGGTCCGGTACTTTACTCACTGGCTTTGATAGGTATGGCTGGGGGTAGGGGGCATCCTAGTGGCTGGCGCTTTCTGCTGCCGCTGAGGGATTTGTGCGCTTGGCTCTGCCTTTTCCAAAGGAGCCAAAGGGCTGCAAGTGCACGGGAAACGTTGTCAACAGACACCAAAGCCAAACCCACGGATTAGCATATTGTCCTCGAAACAATTAGAAGTGTTTGAGGTGTTATTTGGAACCTATTCATGCGAGCCCCTTTGTCAAAGGGAGGATTTCATTATTAAAAAAAAAAAAAAAAAGTTAGCGGTTGTCCATCTGGCTGAGCTGAATAGCAAAGTGATCCGTGTTGTGTATGCTTTTCTCATTAAGAGCCCTTTGGAGACCGATGTTAGAATTAAATGGTATAACACAATTAACATACACGGGCGCCGAATGGGAGGGGACGCCTATAAATAATAGATAGATAAATAAATGAGCGATCAGGAGAAGGTAAACAAAGGCGGGTCGGGGGACCTGCGGGGGGCGGGGGGCGGCCGGGCAGGCAGCGCCACGCTTACTTAGCATCACAAAACCCTCTTACAAACCGAGACAATTAGGAAGTGACTTGCCTCTGGTGGCCGTCCAGTCTGGGGGAGCCCCGGGAGCTGAGGGAAGGCCCCTCCTCCCGCCCTCTAGGAAGAGCCAGGAGGCCCGGGGCGGGGGGCGCCACAGTGGTTTGGCTGTCTGATGTAACCCCAACTGACAGTGCTGTCAGCCGCCCTGAACGCCCTCATAGCTCAGTGTCCCTGAACATCTCCCAAGATGAGGCGTCCTGGGGTCTGGGTGTCTCCCGCACAGCCCGGCGCTGCAGCGCCCCGGATGCACAGGGTGCTCCAGCCGGGGAGGAACCCCGAACGCATGGCCCCACGGGGCACCCCACCTGCAACTCCGAGACAGGCGCAGGCTTAGGCTGGGAAGGGCACCAGGCGGGTCCGTCCTATGGGGGAGGCTTTGGGCGGCCGGGGAAGCTGGAGAACGGAAAGCAGGGTCCTAGCTTGTGCCTGTGCTCGGTCGGAAAGGACGTTTGTGTGCCCGCGAATGGATTGGGCATCTGAGAGTTCTTTCCCGCCGGCACGGAGCAGGGCGCCCAGCGGAGGTCTGGCTTGGCTTGGGGCGTGTCTGTCTAGCACCCCTCATCTCCTTCCTTCTCAGGCGGGCTCTGTCTGGCCTTCTGTCTTACTCGGTCCTGGCCCCAGCCTCACCCCCCACCCCGGGCCTATCTCAGCCCAGCCTCCTGCGCCCGGGGGACCGGAGTCCGCAGAGCCTCTGCCGAGGTGCGCGGCCGAGACTCGCCCTAACCCACAGCCCAAATCCTGCCAGTCAAGCCCATGACAGGGGCCTATTACTGACTTTGAAGTCAGGCGCAGACAAAAAGGAATCCCCCGGGGGGTGTGTGTGTACAGGGGGAGTGGGGGGAGCAGTCCCTGTCAAACCTGTTTGCTCACAACTGTCTCTTTCTTTCAAGAAAATCATTAAAGCAAACCTATAGGGAGAGGAGCGCCCCGCCCGCCCGCCGGGAGCCCAGGAGAGCCGCTTCTCCCGAGCGCAGAGCCACCGGGAGGCCCCTCGACGGGCGGGCGTGGCGCGGTCGGGAGGACGCGAACTCCCGCCGGAGACCCTGCAGGAGGCGGCTCTGCCCATCCCTCTGTCCTTCCCCAGGCCCCGCAGCCAGAGGCCCCGGACCTCTGCCCGCAGCCTGCATCTCCCTGGAGCAGGGGCAGCTTGGAGAGCCGGGACCTCTCCCTTCCCGGTGCGGTTGCTTCAAGGGTTTAACTTTTTTTTTTTTTAACCCAAATACGGGCCACGCTTGCTCCCGACTCTCCTTTCCAGGATGCGTCCTAGGACCAGGAGACCTAACCCACACGGTGCTCAGGGTGGCAGCGGGCAGCGCTGGCAGGGGCAGAGTTGTTTGGGTTTTGGTTAGGTTTTCTTTCTTAAACCGTCGGCTGTGTGTGGGGGGGCACGCTGGCCACACCTGCTGGAGATGGGGGGTCTTTGGCCCCGTTCGGCTCCTGGCCTGTCCTGCAGAGCCTCTGCGGTCCCTCATGCCCCTCCCAAGCTCTGGGTCCCACTCCAGAAACCTTTGATTTTCTTCCCGTGCCCTGGTTTTTCCACGGACACACCAACGTCCTTCGAACTGTTAACTGGGTAGAGGGGATGCCAGCAGTGGAGACTAAATCGTACTGAGGTGTGAGTGACTGACATCTGAGCCCCTGAACACCCATGTTTTAAAACAGGATCTAGATACCCTCCTGAAACCGCCAGTCCCCGAAAGCAGGGTGGCGTTTCCGTCAGGGCAGACCCAGGGACTCCCATTGCATCGCTCTGTCTGGGGAAACGGCTCCTTCTCCCGCCAGCAGCTTCTCTGGAGATCTGGGATTGCCAGGGCCTGAGAAACTTGGCAAGCAGCGGTGCCAGCACTGCCCTGGAGGACTCTCCCTTCCTGCGGCTCCTTCCCAGCTCAGGCCTTGTAACCATTGTTCAGGCGGACAATGAATTTCAAATCATTTGAATTTGAATATCACGTAATTCACAAGATTCCCGTTAAGAACACTCATCTCTTTATTTGCTGAGTGGGTTGTGCGTGTGTAGGAGTCTGAGAGAGGAAGAAAGACGGGGGCGGGAGGGGCCCAGGAGATTTGGGTGCAGGAGACGCCAAGGTGGGTGCTCTCGGCCTCCCCCGCTGGGCGCGCCCTCCCAGCCTCTGGTCTTGCCCCGGCCTCAGGGTCCCCCCTGGACCCAGCTCTGGGAGTGCTACTCTGGCTGGTTTTCTTGGTGCCATGGGAAGGAGCCTTGTCCTGGGACAAGACCCGTTGGCACTGAGCCGCTGCAGAATATTTTTTTAAAAAAAATAATGAAATTGGGGGCGCAGGAGGGCCACTAGAAATTCTAAGGTGTCGACAAAACCGGAGACTGAAGGTCGCCCCCTCCTAAGCCTGGATATGCGCTCCTGTGCCCACTGCGGCTCCATAGTGTTTGTCCTGGCACTGGGGAGGGCACCACACCCCCTCCCTCCTCGCCCAGCCCTGGGCCCTGAGTCTGGCTGAGCCGTTACCCGAGGACCCCTGGCCACTCCCTGGGGACAGGTGGTGAGAGCCCAGCTCTCCGGGCGCAGGAAAGGCCACAGCCCAGGACATTCTTGGGCGGCCTCCACAGATTCTCCATCCTCTCTCTCTCAAATCCCAGCGCTGGGTACCACTCCGACACACACACACACCCACCCCCAGAGGCCCCAAGTTTGGTCGTATTTGGGGAAGAGACCAGGTGCCCAAGCCGGACAGAGACAGGAAGGAGTTGGCAAGTTTTCTTTCCTCCAAAACGAAGAAGTTGCGCTACTCTGGCGGCCAGTCACCGTCCCGAACTTTTTCCTTCTCGGGCCGGGAAGAGAAGCAATTCAAATGGCATCCATGCCTTTGGGGCAGGGGTGGAAGGGACCTCAGAAAAGCTCAGCCCGCTGGCCGGGTGGAGAGCAGGGAGGAAACTGAACATCAGACCCGATGGACCCTGCGCTCTAGGGTGGACCTCCAACCAAGAGGCCCCCGTGGGCACCGCCGCCCGCTAGCTGCTCCCTACAGGGAGCTCAGCCTCTCCTGGTGCCTCGGGCCCGGGTTCAGCTCCGAACCCCGGGGTCCTGCGGGCGCTAGAGC